ATGCTGCCAGCATTTTGGCAACAGGAATGAAATAAAATTGCAATCGTTCCAGCATTGCCAGGACTGATATCAGTGACATTCTCATAAATTCAAGTTTTGAAAGGAGAAATTATCCAGATGTTTTGGAAAGAACAGATCATGAGCACTTTGCAAAGTGAAGAATATTTATCACAGAAGTTGAAAATGCACATAAAGCACAAGTAGTTCGCTGTGTGTTTTGTTTCTTTTTAAAGTTATTTCTAAGAAAAACATCAATTTTTTCCCTCATGTCATCTAATGGTGTGGTCATTAATGATAAGGACATTTTTTTTCCATGGTTATCAGGCTATAGTCAAGTTAAATATTATTCCTCTGTACAAGTCGGCTCAAGCACTGTCCAAAACCTTTTTAAACCAAGCTGCTCAGCTCTTGGCACAACACATCTGGAATAAAAGCCACAGGCACTTTCATATGGAATGCCCTGGGTTGTCTTTCTTTTTTCTTAACAGCTTTGTGGGTGAGATGTTTGATTTTTAAAACTACATTTTCTGTAAGAAAACTCTTTACAATGCAATTCACATTGAAATATGTAAATAATCTGTAAATAATCAGTAATTATATTTACATCCAGGTAGAAAATTTGGGCTGTTGATGTCACAATAGCTTGTGAACCTGAATGGCAGCATGAGACTGACTGTGGGTGACCTGAGAAGATGTTCTCTTGTTATGATATGTATTAGGCTGCTAATCTTTCTAGTCTTTAATCCATAGTACTGCATTAAAAGACCAAAAATAGTCTCCACTGTCATTAAAGGACTGTTTCTGCTTTTTATTTTTTTTTTTTTCTTTTTCTTAAATGTAAATTCTGGTGGGGAGTGGAATGAATGTTCAGTGCTGACAAACAGAATCCTTCCTCTCCTCCCTTCTCTGTGGCACAGAGGTTTTCCACACTTCATTTTTCACCACTCTGGGCTTTGGAAATGTGTTTTTGAAATTAATGTTAGCTTGTTTTGTGCGTCAATGTTGTCACTTCTCAGTCCCTCTAAATTAAACAAATGTTTTAAAGCTGTGTTTGTCCAGCCAAACTCTTGTCATTTCAATTATTAGTGTTTCCAGGAGTGTAAACACTTGTGCAGAGCACAGACGGACGTGGTATAATTGGAAATCTTACCATTGGAAATGGCATTCTGCTTTCCCTGCGTCAACATGTCATAATAGAATGGTAGCACAGGAAAAGAAGTGAATATCCTGGATATTCCAGCTGATACAATTTTGTTTTTCGCTTACATTTATTCTCTGGAATAAACAAAATGCAACATGAAAGTTACTATTTCTTTTGTCTCTGATAAATGCTATTAAGCTATCAGAAATAATAAGTTGAAGTATGATATACATAATAACAATTTACAATTCATCTTCACAAGGCAAAATTCTACTCTTGCAAAACAATCATCCCTTTCAATGGAAGATTTGTGGGAATATCGTAAATAAAATAGCCCACACCTTTCTGCTCACGTTGAAATGGTGGGAAATTTCACTTTGACTTCAGTGCCAGTGAAGACAAAGCACAGCCTCAAGCTGGGGAAGCTCAGGTTGGACATCAGGAAAACATTCTTCATGGAAAGGCTGGTTAGGAATTGGAGGGGGCTGCAAAGGGAGGTTTGGAGTCCCCATTCCTGCAGGTGTCCAGGGAATGTCTGGACATTCATGGCCACTCAGTGCTCTGGTCTGGGGGCAAGGCGAGGATCTTGATGGTCTTGGAGGTTTATTCCAGCCTCAGTGATTCCCTGATCCTGTGTTGTCATCCTGCTCTGTCCAGAGATCTCTGCTGCTTCACAGACTGATACTCTGGAGCTGATGATTCCCAGCAGGGCAGCAGCACAAAGTCATTTACTCTTCGTAGCAGTTTAACATCAGAAAAGCCCTTTGGAGGTTCCAAAAGTGTCAGGAGAAGGTTTCAGGACAGATATATTCTGCTTGTCAGGGCCTCACCTCTATAGAGGGCCTTGACCTGCAAACTTAAACCCTCCAGGTACAGCTTGCACTCTAATGCAAAAACTGGGGGGAAAATAAGTTTTTGAGGGTAATTTTTGTCAGCTGGCAGTGTGAGTGTAATTATTTTATTTTATTTTATTTTTAATTATGGGAAAAAAAGAAGGCCCCAGAGATGGTGATGGGGGTGGTGGCTCAGGCAGGGCCCACCAAACCCACCCAGTGCTTTCTCTCTGGCAGGTGCTCACCCGAGGAGAAGTGAGAAAAGCAAGCACGATACTTCCTCCAGAGATTCTCTCACTTTCTGACCATTTTCCATTCAGGGAACTTTCTGAGCCAGCTGTGGGCTGTGTTTGGCCTGTGACATCCCATTTCTGCCTGTCCCAGGCCATCCCACTACCCTGAGCCCACGGTCACACCCTGCACCAGCCCTGCTCCCGTGTTTGGTTCTTCTGGGCAAGTAATTCCAGGGGTCAGCTGGCCCTGGCCAAACCCACCTACTTTGTTCCTTACAAACCTGTGCCCCATGTTTCTCTAAATAAATCACAGAGGTTCCCTTGTTTAGCTGGTACAAGAGCAGTTTGTTTTTTCCACATGGTTTGAGCGCTTTGTTTGTATTTCAAAGTCTCAGTCTTTCTGCCTTTTTTGAGCGTACAGTTGAAGACTGAAAGTTTGCCTACACAAGAGAATTGTTCTGATGCACTCAAAAGAGTGTGAATTCCTTTTTGGAAGAGATATTCAAAATTGTTTCAGAGTGATTGCTGGTGGGAAGGACAAAATCAGCAAAACAACAACGACAGCAAATGCTCCAGCTGAGGCAGAATTTTTTGTTTGTACAATATGGAAAGCAACAAAATCCAGGAAACATCCCAAAGGACCCCCATCACTCTTCAGTGTGTAACAGCATCAAGCTCTGATTCAGCTCTATAACTAGGAGAGATTTTACCATGCTCCTCATACTCCTGAGACATAAGAAAAGAAAGCAATGGGTTGTCACTCAGTATTCTGATAACTCTGATATAAAAAAATCTATTTTACACCCAATGTTCTGTCTATGATCAGCCATTTATTTCCAATTCTATGGAGAGCTGCTGTGAGGATAATGCACAAGCTATCTGCATGAGAAATGGGTTTTGCAAGGCTTTCAAGGAAACTCAAGTTGAAATAATGGCATCATTTATCTGTCACAATGGGAAGAAGGATTTTCCTGATTAGGACATATTGATGGACTGCAATTTCATCCCTGGGAAATTATTAATTATTGTAAGATACCATTTTTCTTCTCCCCAGAATTTTCTCAGAAATACTCTTTCTGTGACATTTCATCTCTCATAGGACTCTTTTTTCCCCCTGTACTTAGTGTTCTTTTTGACTTTGTTTTAATGCAGTACTGGCCTGAGTAAACAAGCTGTCTGTCACATGGAATAATTTAATAATAAAACCTGTCTCATGACCCAGGGCTTCCCAACCTGCGCTCTGAGGAACTTTGAGGGGAAAGGGGCAGAGAGGAGGACCAGTGTGACTGCAGAGAGAGGGATAAAGTTGTGGAGACTCGAAACACAGAAAAAATACAGAAAAAAGATGCAGAAACCGATGCTGAGAGAAAATTATTTCCAGAAGACAGACAGGTTCTTACAGAAATGTGTCTATTTATGTTACCACAGCCTACCTTTTTCTATTTTTTGGAAACATTTAAGGTATATTGTTGCCAAAGCAGGGGTAAAAACAATAAACAGGGTTTTTTTTTATGTTGTGAATGAATTTGTAGTAGGATCTGGAAAAACACAGGACTGGTCAAAACATGACAAGCTTAAGAATGGGAGCTTCAGCATTAAACTTGATGGGTGATTTCAGACAAAGAGAGAAACAAAGTTGATATTGCATGGAAAAAATAAGTTAGGAAAACCTGGCTCCTCAATTTATAGTATGAAGTCTGTGAATTAATGGAAACTGGTAACTGCTTTTGACCTAATTATGGCAAGTAATTATCTCACAATAGTTGCTGGTGGAGATGTCTCATGTGCTGGCTCTGTAGAAATTCCTTTGGAAGATTAAATTGAGCGAAGCAAATAATTTTTAGGCAGCAGTGTTGCAATGATCAGATCATCCTTCCTAAAAGGGCTTTGGAAAATGGACACTTGTCCTTTTGACTCTCTGGAGAGGGAAGCGGTTGTGATTTGCTTTGAAATGTGAGGAGGAATTGGCTTGTGAACTTCCTTATAGACCTCCAGCAGGAAGTGATTCCTGTTTGTTGGGTATTTCTCAGAAGCAGGAAATAATAAAACGGTCACAGTTGCCAAAACAGTTGATGGAGGTGTTCTCCTTGGCTCTCTTTGAATGGATCTGGGGCAGAACAGAGCCTGAATGCATGCCTCCTTTCTTATTGCTTTTTGATTAAGAAGTGATGCAGACGGTGGATTGCTGTTCCAGAGGATGAGTACAAGCAAAGACATTTCAGGAGAAACCTCTGTCAAAATGAACCCAGGTACACTCCGAGACCTAGGGTGCTATCGATGAAAATATAGAAGGAACTTCAGAAGTTGTGCTTGTTACAGCAATAATCAAATTCTTTAGAAGAAAAAGCCTGATAAATTATCCAATGGGAACTTCTGTCAGGGACAGTCTGTAGGATATTGTCCAAACAGTCATACAGGAGTACATTTGCTATGAGAAGACCCCATAAATGGCATTTTGGAGTCAGGAGCTCTGAAGATGCTGGCCAGGAGATTGGAAAAGCTGTGCTCTGATTTAATGACCATTTATATGCCTGAACACAAACAGGGAAAATGCTGACTCCTCGTCCAGATGGCCTGAACCAGAAGCAAATTGCAAACACTCCCCTGGGCAGAAGTGCAAGTCATGAGCTGCTGGGGGAATGTGCTCATTCAGGAAGAGGTAGCAGACGTCTTTCCTCCAGTTATTTGCAAAGGAGGGATGAGTTCCTGTATCACCCACAGAACATGAGAGCTGATGTCACAACAACACATCCCAAAGGTGTCTGGGAGTGAAACATACCATGCCTCTATAGTATCGCTGTGAGAGTGGCCTGGTCATGGTGACAAAGCCTGATATTGAAGGTAAATATAATAAAAGCTCTGTGTAAGTGCTGTGTATCCAAACTGCAGCAGTAAAAGGAGTTATGTGTTAAATACAGTAGGGCAAGGATGTGTTATAAGGGTTTGCCTGGTTGTCTGGGCACACATAATAGAGATTTCCTTTGCCTAGTGTGTCTAGTCACAATGTACAAATAATTGCTAGGTTTGAGATGAAATTGATGTGTTAGAGGAGACAGTAAAGCAATCCCAATGTGATCCTGTAGTGCCGTGACTGGTGCCATTTGGCTCTTCCCTGGGGCCTGACACAAGCCTGGCACACTCACCAATGTTTCAGTGAATGAATCTGGTCCAGAGTCACTGGCAGGAAAGAAATTGGAATCCAAAATGATTCAGCAGGTCTGTGAGATTTTAAGGAACAACAAAATACGCAGATTTCCCCAAACCTGATGTAATCCAAGTTGTGTTCATTTCAGATTTCCCAGTTTTGGTGGCTTTGTGATACAGCACAAAAGGAATGGAAATAAACACGTTTCATGTTTCTTGATAGAGCCCTTAATGAGAGTACAAAATGTTTCTTGGTGCTCCTCATGCTTTGGCATAAGTTGATTAAGGCAAAAAAAATCTATTCCCTCTGAAGAGGAAGAAGAAATTTGAAACATGTGCAGAATAGGTGGAGGCCAAATTAAAAATCTTTATATTTCATTGGATTTCAGATCAAATTTGGAAGTAGTTGCTCACAAAACAAAATCCATGAAGCAAGGGCATATGGCACCAGTTTCTAGGGCATCTGGTGTGATTCTCTAAGTTTAGAGAAAAGCTGGGCCATCCCTGTCATTGGTTATTTGGTGAAATGCCACGGACATTCCAGTCCTGCCAAGTTGCACCCAGAAACTGAGGCTTTTAAATTGAGATAGCATGTACCAAGTTATTTCTGTTCTGTGATAAGTGTCCTTGTGCACTTTTCCCATCAGCAGATAAGACTTAATTTGAGTTAATTAGCTGGCTTTCATTCTTGTGAAATAAAACATCTTACACATGCTTACACAGACAGACAAGCACATAGATATACTGGGGTAGAACTTTTAATATGCATTTATTTCCCATATGTGTAAACTTGTAACCACGGGAATAACATTTATTAAAAACAATATGATTAATACTTGGCTTCTTTATGTATATATTGTGGTTTTACGTTAGCATAGTCATGATTTTTCTGAGTGTATCAATATGAGAGGATGCCATGGGCAGATGTTTCTGTATCCAGGGACTTGGGAATATTTTGTGTGTAATGTGAGTAAATGAAAACGAACAGGTCTATTATTTTATGCAACACTTGATGACATAAAACCAAGGTAAAAGTCTGTTGTGTACGTGCTGAATGCCCTAATTAGCGAAAGAGACTCGGTGAATGTTTCCTACACTTTTTGGTGAGGATATTTGTATTGAAATAAGAAATGCTGAGGGATATTTACATTGCTACATAAAGATACACGGCACAGCGCAGTGGGGCAGGGCATCCTGTGCCCCTGACAGCGCTCACACCTCTGTGGCTGTGTTTGAGAGGGGCAGGAAGGGGAAAGGTGCTCGGAGCAGAGCGTGTGGCTGCACTCTGTTTGTTGTGGTGCAGGAACAGCGATTTGGGTGCAGGAAGCGCGTGTGGCGAGGGGGGCCAGGAGCAGCGGGGTGCAGGCTCTGGGACACGGGGGTGGCTGTGCTGACCCAGGGGAGGGAGGCAGGGATGGAAGGATGGATGGATGGATGGATGGATGGATGGATGATGGATGATGGATGGATGGATGGATGGATGGATGGATGGATGGATGGATGGATGGATGGATGGATGGATGATGGATGATGGATGGATGGATGGATGATGGATGGATGGATGGATGGATGGATCTCACTGCTGCTGCCGGGCTGGGGACAGGGGGCTGCCAGGGAAAGAAGGTGTGGGTTCCCACGGCTGACAGTGGGGAAACTGTGTGTGTGTGATCTGCCTGGGAGGTGTGAGGGAGAGAGAATGGGCTGTGTGGGCATGGAGGGAGCTGGGGGGTGAGAGGAGCCGGTCTGTGTGCAGGGGTGCGAGGGGAACCTCTGTGTGTGTGAGATACAGGGAAAGGGGAGCTGCTTTGTGTCTGTGTGTGTGCACCAGGGGAGCTTCTGTCTGTGCGTAATAGGGAACCTCTGCCTGTGAGTGTGTGGGGGACGGAGAGAGTGCGAGGGGAGATTCTGTGCGCGTTTTAAGGGAACCTCCGAGCGTGCGCGTGTGGAGAGAGTGAGAGGAGCCTGTGCAGGTAAATGTGAGACAGAGAGAGGAGAACCTGCGTTTGGGGGGAAGCTGGTGAGAGGGGAGAGCCGGTGTGTAAGAGAGAGAGAGAGCCCCAGTGTGTCTGTGCGTGTGTGTGTAAGAGAGATCCCCGGTGCGTATGTGTGTCTGTGTGTGTGTGAGAGCCCCGGTGCGCGGTGCCGGAGCTGACNGGAGAGGCGGCCCCGGGCCGGGCTCGGCAGGAGCCGTGCGAGCCTCGGGGCTCCTGCACCTGCAGGGCAGCACAGACAGCTCGGGATCCCCCTCCTTCACCTCCTCCAGACCTGCTCCGGCTCTGGGTGCCGAAAGCCAGAGCTGTGATTTATTTTGGCCAAAGTTGTAAAAGGGTCCGCTCGCAGCTGGCTCGGTGTCTGTGGCACGCTTCTTGCTCTTTTTATGTGTGTTTGTGTGTCTGGACATGGACCTTTCCCTTCCTCCCTCAGTTTTCCTCTGCTTGCATGCTGAAGCAAAGACTGTGCTTGTGGTAGAAATGATTGAAATACATTCAGAGTAAGGAAAGAAAGCTGACATGGTAGACTGCACAAGAAACAAGTCAAATTTCTGAGTTTTTCTTTTTATTTTCTTTTTTTTTTTTTAGGTTTTTGGGGGTATTTTGGGGTTTGGTTTTTTTTTTTTTTTTTGGTTGGTTGGGGTTTTTTTTCAGGTTTTTTTTGAGGAAAAGGTGGAGTTGAGTATGGTAAAAGTGAGAGACCTACAGAAACTGCTTCAAAGTTAATCTAAACCAGAATGAGTTGGGAGGTGTGAAAAACCACTGCAGGGTTATTGCCGAGCGGGGTTTGTGCACACGAGCAGCACAATTATAAAACAAAGCAGAGCTCTGTCACGAATGACAGGGTGGATTTGGAATTAAAAGGGTATCCTGTGGCTGACAGGTGGCAAAGAGCGACTGTGCTCTTGTCTTGTGGTGCTTACTGAGCCTCGGGAAGCTCTTGGCATTCCTTGGAAGAGTATCTGACACCTTGAAAACTTGTTACGTTTTCTGATTTGGAGATGGGCCGCTCTCAAACAACCATCCTGCACCATTGAAAGTGTTTCCAAAATAACTTGTGTCAATTAATAATGTTTGAAGGTATAAAGAACAGTAAATACAACCTTTCCATGGACTACATGAACAAATTCTTTTCCTTAGATTGTGTTTCATCAGGTAATATTTACCAAAATAGTTTAGTGCCTCTTTACCCTGTCCAGCAACTTTCACATCTTTGCTTTGGTTCTGGACTGTTGATATTTTTTAAAAGACTTTTTACTTAAAAATCACATTGCAGCTACTCAGGGAGCGGAATGGGCTGCAGCTCTGCAGGGATTCAGCTCAGACACTGAGGAACAGCCGTGTTTCTGCAGTAGATAAAAAAGGAATATTTACAAATAAGTCTATTTCAAAGCATTAAAAATTGTCGCGTCTATTTCATGTTCTGAGTCCCGCCATCAGCTTTCATGTGTTTGCATTTCCACACTTCCAGCTTTTGAGTTTTGTGAAGATGAGTGGTAACAGCATCCAAATGACAATATAGGCACATGTGCTGCCAAGTAAACAAATAATTTGATTTTTCTCCTGGTTTTCGTAGTTCTGGTTTGCTTATAGTAACAAGAAGTAGCAACGTCTGCAGAGAAATGTAGAGAAATGCTCTAAGCTGTGTCATTTCAGCTTCCACCTGAAGGAACAGTGCACTGAAGGTTTTGTCTCTTCCATAAATAAATAAATTAAAAAGTGGAGAAATTTTTGATGTATATATTTTTTTAAGAAAGCGTTTCATGAAGTTGATAATTAAGCCGCGTGTTGTTAATTGCACACAGCTTCTCCAGCTCATGGCTTTTGTCTGTGTTTGAGTGTGAGCAGCTCCAGCTCTCCAAATGAAAAACAGGCTGCAAAGAAAAAGGCAGAGAAATGTTTATAGGCAGGATACTCAAAACAGTTATTTTTGTGGGAAGATAATGTTAGATGCTTAAAGATAAACAAATAAATCCACAGCAGTGGAGTTTGCCAGAGGTATAAAATGTGTTGGAGCTCTGGATACCACTGTCATTGTATTCATTGCACAAGTGTTACACACACATTTGTATTTCGTTATGGAAATGGAGCAGGGAAGCTGGAGAATAATCAATATGAAAATCAGAGGCCTTCTCATTGTCTTCTCATTTATGTTGAAACAAGCAAAACTTTTCACCTGCCTGCTTTCCATAGAGCAAACAGCTGGACTCAAGTTGAGCCTCACAACAGCGGCTTGTAATCCCAAAATCTGGACGAAACCCCAAGTCTGGTTTGTTTTATGTGCCTTTGCTGGAACTTGGACCATTTTACGTGGCTGTTAAGTATACATGTGGCATTAAATGAGTTGAAATATTATGCAGCAATCACAGATGATGATAATTGTAGATCCAAAATAGCTTGTAAAATAATAATAATAAAAAAATTGTTGCCAGAAGCTGAAATTACATAGCTGGTGACAGCTATTGTTCTCTGCTTTGAAATGGGTGGGCTGGTCTGTGTTGTGTATTTGAAAATCTGTTGCTGTCGTAGCAAAACCTGAAGTAATTTAATATGAAGCTATTTTTATGTTTTTAGAGATCATTGAGTAGAAATTAAAATCAAATATACTAAGGCAGTTTTTTTCCTTCTTTACGCAGGGGATTTGGGAAGCAAGGATTCCAGTGCCAAGGTAAGCCACACCTGCTTTGCTGGCACACACAGGTGGTTGCACCTCATTTTAAAGGTACCCAAAACTTGCCAGCAGCAAGAGAGAAACAATCCTGGAAAATCTAAGCAAGCATCTAAGCCTGTGTGAATTCTAAAAGAAGATAATGGTTCAATAAAAGAATTATTGATATTTACATAATTTACATTGAACAACCAAGTAATTATTTAAACTGTAATAATATAAAAAGTTGGTGGATTTTTTTTTTTTTTAATCCCAGCACAGTAAATATCATATAATCTGCATGATTCCAACTTTTCATGGAAATAATCTGTGCAATTTAGCTTTGCAGAGATCATTTTTCTCATCAGAAGCTCTTGTCTGTGTGGGCGTTTTGGAAAATGGATTCACTTTTTAGTCATATGGCTTCTTTTCATAACCCAAAGTCCCTGGTTTTCATTTTCATACAATGCATGTCCAGGGGGACCTTTGGCTTTAACTCTGTATTAGGACAAGACAATTCTGTCTTATGTAATACTGAATTACAAAAAAAGAAAAATCCACCTGTATAAAATCACTGATTTAATAAACCTTCTAACCTTGAGAAACTGAAAGCTGCTGTAGTATAACTGTAAATTCTGTATTCTCACACAGCCTGCATTTCTGCCAAATACTTCTCATTATTTAGCATTTAATCATGAAATAACCACACCCAACTAGTGCAGGTTTTTTGTTTTGTCATATGTTTGCTTAATTAGGATGAGCATTTTTGTCGTCCCTCTCACTTCCCCACCTTCTCCCCGTCACTTCTGCTGCAGCTGCATGTTGTGTACTCATTAGTTGGCCTTTTCCTTCTTTCTTTCCTGGCATTTCTGATGGGTATTTGCTCTTGCCTTAGAGCACATTTGACTCTCCCAAATGCTGTTTTTACTTAGCAGTTAGGGAAATGATGGATTCTGTGGTATTTTCGTGAAAGTTGATGTGAACTGATGCTTCTTGAAATTAAACCTCTGAGAAAGTGGATGTCAAAGACTGATGCCTTTTAAAGATTCACAATAAATAAGTTTTCTTTCTGCAAGCTGAGCCTTGCTGATACACACAGCATTTCCTGATGGAGGTAAGCAGACATCCATGATTTTCTTCTCTGTACCCCAAAACACTAATATTACATTTTTTAGATATCCTCCAGTTTTTTACCACCCATCACATCCAAAACAGTGCTGTAGATGAGTGTGCAGTGCTTAGGTGGTAATGTAATGACATTTCCCAGTCTCACTCAGGACAGTTCCTAATTGAGGAATTATTTAGAGGTTCATTACAGATTTCTGTTGATACACAGGAAATAATTGGGGCTGCATTTAAATGGTGCAGTTTTCCAGATTAGCCTTTGCAGCTTGCAGGGTGCTGACTTTCTCCTGGCTCACACTGGGCAGGATCCCCTGCCCTGAGCCACAGATCCACCCTGGCCTGGCAGCTCATCTCCAGGGATGGAATTCTTTCCACCATGGTAATTCTGGTGAGCCAGGAACAGCTCTGCAGCTGAGGATTGATCTGTACAAAGCCAGCTGGAGTTCTGGATTCAGTCTCGTTTCCCCTGCAGATGCCATCCGTGGCCACAACCAAGAGTAAAAGCAGTAGAGCAGCTCTGATTATTTTTAAATGCCTCAGAAGTGATACTTAGATTCCTAAAAAGTATGTTCAAACTTGACTTTTGTCTGTATCAGAGCGAGAATCTACACTTCCTCTTTGGAGAATGTTGTATCCAGTGGGTTTGTCTGTGTTCTTGATCAAAATCTCTGAGCAATATTCTGATTATACATGGTTTGTAGCAAGCTGTTGTTTGTGCACTATTGAGTAAAAGGTTTTTAACTATCATTCATTAAACTTGTGTTCCTAATCAGAGTTCATACTCTTGGGACAATACTCTTGAAAAATAAAGATTCCATGATAAAGTTAAGCCACTGAATCAATGGCTTTTCAGTTCAGCTTTCTGAAGCTTCTGTCTAAAAAGTCACCAGCTAAAGCTGGAAAGGCAAATTTGTGGTCAAAATTACTGAGACCACGAGAAATTAAAACCAAAAATCTGAAACTAGAAGGTAGGCTGCAGAAAAAAACCCCCAATTTCTGTAATGAAGTGACTGTCTTTACAGAGAAGAATGAAAAATGGAGAATAAAATGGAATTTTCATATGACATGAAGGAAAGAATATTGCAGTGACAGCTCTTAGCATGACTGTAGTTCTTGGTCCTTCAGTGTTTCCATTATAAAAAGCCTTTTCTACTCTGTTTTCAAGAGTGTTGTAAAATCTCCCACTAGACACAAACTTGATCTCAGGCAAAATTCAGAGCTGGGGGTTTTGTTATTTCCAAAGTTGTTTGAAATTCCTCTGGGCTTTGATACCAAGGAGAAGAGGAAGACCCACAACAGTCGCACATCACACCCAAATGATGTTTCTACTATAAAAAACTACAATTCTATCAATATTTGTATTAGAGTTCTTTAATTAAACAAAAGGTCTTAGTTGTTATGCAGTTTTAAGTATTGCAGCAAATGTAGTAAGTTTCTGTATGTTTTTAAAACTTCCATTAAAAAAGTGTCACAGAAAATCCAGTCCTGGTTTTATTTTTAAGATGCCCTCAAACAAAATATTTTGATTTAATATAAATTTTATTAGAATTTTAACTGTGGTATAGTGAAATGATCTGATTTTGGACCATTAATACCTTTTTTCATTGGACTTCCTTAGATCCTGTTTTCACTTATGTGTTGTCACTTTATTTCAGATTTTGATGCCTGTTTCTGCTGTAGTGTTCAGCTTCAGCATTACATAAAGACATTTAAATGAGCTATTTGGAATTGAATTATTTCAACTAATTGTCCTAAAACATTTTGCATGATAATTTTTTTTTCCACCTCCTTATTTTTGTGGGATCCTGATGAATTTGCAAAAGACAGCAAATTAAATTTTGGTGTGGTTTTAAAGCCCAGAATGTGGCAGAGGGTCAGGTGCAATTGCATTATTACCACACAAATGCTCAGCAAGGGACAGTCCACATCCTAAGTAGTTTGTCTTCCTTAATGGGTGTATGTTAACGTGGCTGCTGAATATTCCAGCAAACAGAAGCTCAGAAAGGCTGCTTAGGTTTGCAGCCAGGAGCTGGGATGTGGAGTTCATGGAGAGGAGGCAGAATTCGGTTGCGTGGTTGGAAAGATGATTTTTAGAGAATGAGGTTGGGCATCATAAAGTAGCAGTGGAAAATATGTGTTTTTTGCCACGTGTGGGTTTAAAAATGAGCTTGAAGGACTTCAGCTGGATTAATGTTCTCCTAGGGACAGAATTCAGGAAGAATTTCTTCACAGGAAGGGGCGTCAGGCACTGGAAGGGGCTGCCCAGGGAGGTTTGGAGTCTCCATCCCTGGAGGTGTCCAAGGAATAACTGGATGTGGACTCAGTTTTCTGGGATGGTGGCATGGTGGAGGTTGGTCACAGCTTGGACTTGATGGTCTGGGAGTTGTTTTCCAACCTCAGTGATTCTGGGATTCTATGACATTTTTATTCCTGTTATTAGAAAGCTTTTTGCAGTTTGATATTTGTGGTTTGTTGTTGCTTTATAGAAACATGAAGTATTTTAAATATTGTGCTTGTGAAACGGGAGTTCTCATTCTGCTGTTTTGCTTTTGCTGTTTGCTGTTGATCATGTCTGTGGCAAACACGATGGGAGGATTATTCCAGGGAGGTTTGGCTTTGTTTTGTTTTCTTACATTGTCAAGCAGGCCAGCAAGCTGTCTGTAGCACTGAAAGCTTTCCTCTGATGTGCACCTGGAAATACATTGCAAGAGCAGTGTGAAAAACGGAATAATTTAAACCTTTTTCAATCTGCCACAGTATGAAAGTTCCTCTTTTGAGACAGCAGACTTTAAATTAAGCAAGCAATTAAGTTAAATTTTGGCTTCATCATTCTTTTGATAGACTGTTACACTCTGAGTGTAACCTATACTTGTTTCTTTCTGTTGGGTTTGTAAGAAGCATTTTTCTGCTGAACAGAGATCAACAAATAGGAACTCAGTAAGATGTGAAGAACAAACATTGTAAAACATGTATTTATGTAGGTTTAGAGGTTGTTTTAAGTTCAGCACTGAAGGCTCAGCACGTTTCCTCAGGGCAAAAATATTTTTAGTTACAGTAATATAAATGTGATCAGCTCATGCTCCTCATTAAGGGTCTGTTGCTAATTCTCTCCTAATGGTCAAAATTTGTGGTTGTTAACAGCAAGTTTTCCCTCTTTTACATGGTTGCTGCAGGCTTTACTGAAGTGCAATATTCTGCTGTAGTTCAGCTGTGAAATACATTTGGCTTAAGGAGAATAACGAGCTAAGGAAGGGTTTCAAGTTTGTTTCATAATTTACATAAATAAAAATTAGAGAAATCAATTAAAGCAGATCATTATGCTTCCCTAATCTGGACAGCTATTGCTCTTTCCACTGTTTTTTTCCTGTCTTCCCTCAATTTATTTTCAGATCAGTTTTCTCTGAATGCTGAATTTTACCTTCCATTGTTGTCCTGAGCTTCTTGGAACAGCTTGTGCCATGCTGGGTCTGGGCTACGCAGACATCTACAGAAATTCCTTCCCTAAAAAGGGAAACAGGGGCATTTTATTAGTTTTTAATATTCAAATATTGTAACATTGGCACATCAAACCAGCACTTCATTTCCTCTGCATTGTTTATCTTTTATCTGATGGTTCCTGACCTCTTTTCTACAACAAAAAGACCTGAGAACCCCCTGTTGCCACCTAATTTTTAAATCACGTATTTTCATTAAAAATATTGTATTAAAGGTCTGTGTAGTTACTTGGTTGGGAAACTAATTTTTAATGCTCTGTGATCTGAAGATTTGAACCACTGAAAACTCTGACCACTTCCAACCTGGTTGACACACACAGTTTTCATCAATCCTCAGTGCTGATATACTTTTAGTAGATGCAGCACCATTTATTCTGTTTTGTGTACAGTTTAAGGCTTAAT